TTAATGATTTTTGTCTGCTTGTACTATCATTACTAGAAAAGTGAAAATCTTGCACTATGATTTTGGATTTATCTGTTTTTCCTTCTAATTTCATCAATTTTTATTTAAATATTTTGAGGCTGTGTTATTAAGTGTACACAAATTTATGATTTTCTAGCTTTCTGGTGGATTTACTCCTTTATCACGTGAGTGACCTTTATACCGCAGTTTGCCTTAAGGTCTACTTTATTTGATAGTAATATAGCTAAACCAGTTTTCTTTTGATTAGTGTGTGGCTACACACACACATGCACAGACACACACACTTCTTTTTCATCCAGCCTAACAATCTCCGTCTTCTAACTGGAGTATTTTCTCTGTTTATATTTAACCAAATTATTGATAATGTACTCAATCAATTCCAAGATGCACAATTCCTTAGTTTAACATCTCAGAAATCAGAGTGTTTTTCAGTTATGAAACATTAAAATTGTGGTGACCAAATCGCAGTAGGAACGGTCTTTATTGCATGTATGTGCACGAACTTTATCATAGCTATTCTTACCGCCATTACTTTAGATTGAGTTTTTGCATTGTTGGTACTTCACAAATTGAGTTTAATTGCCACTTTAAATGTCTTCAAAAAGATTAAATCACGAGTTAGGACTGAAATGAAAAGTTATTTTGTAAACATTGAAATGAAGCAGCTGATATTAGTGAAGCAAATATTTGATGTTAAAGGAATAATAGCAACTTTACATTTTCTTCTAAAAGAACAACTAATTGCTTTGCCTGACTTTAGACAAGATGATAACCACAAGTCGACAAAGCTGTGTTACATTTTGTTACTGAGCTGCAACAAGATTACCTATGAGCAGCCAAACAATACAAATGAAGGCAGGAGAAACTGACAATGCCTCCAATAAATAAAAAACTTTATATGAAACATAAGGCTGATTCGACGGTATGGAAATTAGTAAAAGAAATCTCAACCAAATTGGAGTTGGGAAGGCCTGTAGAGGGAGCTCTCACACCCTACCATACATCATCAATTACTCCCAACAGGAAGAAATGTAAGGTTGCATCTCTGACAAGAAGTACAACTACTTTACTACTGAAGGAAGATTTCTCTCGCCACCCAGCAATAGCACAGCCGATGAAAAAGGCCAGAGCTCAGCCAACGAGAAGCCATCGCCACCGTAAACTGTTATTTTCCTCCAATGGATTTTTGTTTAGAAAAGCCCCTCCCCACTCCTTCTTTTGCTCTATAAAAGCATGCCCCTTCCTTTGTTCTCCGAATAGCATGCTCATCTCAAATTGCAATTCTTTTGACAATTCCCAAATAAACTCGTTCTGAGAGTAAAATAACTGGAGAATTTGCTTTTTAAGTTGACAATGGATTCATGCATTGTTAAGGCAAATGTCAATTTGTCGGAAACTTCCTACTAACATTGAAGAGAAGCTGCATAACTTTCAGGAATTTGAGGATAAAACAAAGCTGAGTTTAGTCAATAGAAAATGCTGACAAAATCCTGATGTTCTTCTACGTGCCTCAAAATGATACACTAATGCTAAAGATGCTAAAGAGACTGATATCCTGAAATGGGTTAGGAAATAGCACATCACTGTAACACTATCATAAACACCTGTGCCAAAAGTTGCTGCCATATTAAATTTTAAACTACAAAATAATTTCCTAAAAATGTAATTGTATGCCATAAAAGGAAGCAGGGGGTGACAGGAAATGGATAATGACTGAGCTAACTAAATCTGGTTTGAATGTCCAAGAGCCCTTCATAACCTGCCAAGTGTATCCATTTAGTTCTTGATGCATTCTGAAGCCATGTATCTGAATATTTAAAGAATACCTTGCCTGAAAAGTAACATGACGATGTTATTCCTGATGCCATGTCTAGACAACTGCAACTCCTCAGTGTTTCAGTCAACAAACCACTGAAGGAGGGGTTGAGAAAAAAGATGAATCTGAAAACTTTCCGTTGTCATCTTTTGAAAAGTGCTACGATCAAAGCTTGCAAAATGACTGTCAGAGGCTTGGAAGAAAATTCCAGGCAAAGGGGCTTGAAGAAATTCCCAGAAGAAAATCACCCACTTTCCATAGTAGAGAACAATGTTGTGTGGAAAAACACAGACATTGACAATTCTGAATCAAGAAAGTGTTTCCAACGAATCAGACTATGAATGTGGAAAAGTCTTAGGAATACCTTAACCAATTTATTTCACTTGTAATTTCTTTATGTATGCATAAAAGCAATGTGAGAAAAATCTATGTCTAAATGAATCTAAAAAAGGATTTTCAGTAAACATAAAGTGAAATTGTAAGTGGTAAAGCTCAATGTCATGGTTTAATTGGCAGTATTTTTTCTATATGGCATATAATGATGTGTCTTAATATCACTGGAGTCTTAGAGTCAACGAAATATCGTATGTTGAATTTTAAACCTACCATCTTCTTTTAAGCTATTTATCCTGCCTTTTTAATATTTACTTCCTCTCCTTCCTTGCCTTTGTTTTTCTTTTTGTTTTTGATTGATGGAGAATTTCTTAAACATACTTTTCCCCCTCTACTAGTTTTTAATCTTTTAGTGTTTATTCTAGAAATAATTAGGACAATTAACTTACTGAAGTCTAAAGTTAATTAAAATTTACTCCTTAATAAGGCCTCAATAAATGTGAACTGTAATAACAAAAGAATTAGAAAATGTTCTAGTATATTAGGTAGAAAAGTAATGACAAAAATCTCTTTAAATACTAACATAACATCACATGTGTCAGAGATGGGTTTACAGATTTTCATAAACCCAATAATGTCCACACAAAAGGAGAGATGAGGGATAAGGAGAGGCAATGGGAAGAAGAGGACACAAACCTACTTTTCTTCCATTATTGGGTCAGTAAGAATGGCCTTCTCCTTTCTTTTATCACCCTCTTCTTCCATAAGAACAGAGACCTAAAGAGGAGACACTGGGCTAAGCTCGGCTGAAACAGCAGACTGATCCAAATCAGGATAGGCTGATAATTGACTCTCAAGTAGGATGAGCAGCAGGTTCAAATCAGGCAGTGATCTCAAGACAGACATGGTCCCTACCCTCATAGGGTTTTCAATCTAGTGTGGAAGGCAACCTATTAAATAAACAATTGCAATTTGAAAAAAAGCTGTTTACAAAACAATGCATAGCATGATCCTTTTTCCATTAATTAAAAAAATGTTAAAGGCATTAAAATGGTACTCAGCAAATAAACATTTTCAGTCAGGTGACTTACAAAGCTAAATGTCTCTTAAAAACAAAACTAGGCCTTTTTTATACTCATAAGGCTCCTGATTATTTTGTTTATTTGGGGTCAATGGTTCTAGATTGGAAAAAAAGGAAATCAAAGGACTAGTAGCAAAAGAATTTTGTACTTTGTGCCTAAGTGATACAAGGAAAAATTTTAAACCTTCCAAAAACACAAATACACTTTGTAGAAATAAAATCTTCATTTGCTCCTTATCTTCCTTCTAATATCCATAAAAGATTGAATTTTTAGATTCTTCCCCCCTCCAATTTCTATTCCCTGAATTTCAGTTTCCTTTTATCAAAACTTGATTTCAATTCACTTTCTTTACAGATACAGTAGCAAATGAACCATTTCACATGACAAGTATAGGATATATTTATGTAATATTTACAAAGAAAAGTCTGGAAGGAAATAAAATATTGGTATACCAAAGTAAGGTAAGCAAAGCCTAGCAATTAAGTAAGAGGAAATTTCAAGACAGGTAACGGTTAAGTGGTTTACAAAAAAAAAAAAAACTTCTAACTAACAAGGAAGGTAAAAGTGTGCCTCATGTGATGATACTGAACTTAAAGGTAACTTGAGGTGGATTATACTTTTCAACATAAATTTACTTGTTGATGATTTATTATGTGATACTCTTGGGACAACTTATCTCTGTCTTTTTAGTGCCTTGCATACAGCAAGTGGCTAAATAAATGTTAGCTCTTTGTTAACGCAGCCATAAATTGCACAACAAACATCTATTGAGCATTTATGAGTAATTCAAAAACATAACCAAAACAAATACCCAATCAAGACAGAAAGGCTTTTATAATGAATCATAGGATAAAAGTAAAAAAGGAAACACAATTTATTACATGAAACTTATTTTCTTCTGTAGACAATGGTCAGACTTAAAGCTCTGCCATGGCAAATTACTGAAGTTTCTATTAGTGGTTATCACAGCCAAAAGATCTCAGAGATGAAAGAGAAAAAGATCCATACTGTGGCAGAGACTTCTATTTTTTTTTTTTGTGAGGAAGATCAGCCCTGAGCTAACATCCATGCCAACCCTCCTCTTTTTGCTGAGGAAGACCAGCTCTGAGCTAACATCTATTGCCAATCCTCCTCCTTTTTTTCCCCAAAGCCCCAGTAGATAGTTGTATGTCATAGCTGCACATCCCTCTAGTTGCTGTGGGACGCCGCCTCAGCACGGCCGGACAAGCAGTGCATCAGTGCGTGCCCGGGATCCAAACCGGGGCTGCCAGTAGCAGAGCGTGCGCACTTAACCGCTAAGCCACAGGGCCGGCCCCCAGAGACTTCTATTGGCCTGCCAATATCCAAATCTTCCCTTCCTCCTCAGTAACAAAAGCCCAATTTTATTCAGAGCAGTCATGCATCCAGCTATATTTCCCTGCTTCCCTGGTAGCCTGAGCTGTGGTTCAGGAAGTCTCCTTAAAGGGAGAAGATGCATCCTTCTTTGTCTTTGCCTTGCTGCCTGGAACTTGGCTGTGATGGTTAGAGCTCTGGCAGCTATCTTGGACTATAAGCACCAGGGCCCCACCTTAGGGATAGAAGAGCAAAGAACTGGAAAAAGCTTAGGTCCCTGATGACTTTATGAAGATACTATACGTACCCCCAGATTGCCTACTTCAAGAATTATTTTACATGAGCAAATAAATATTGTGTGTTTAAGCCACCATTAAGTCTGTTTTTATTTTTTGCTTTCTTAACTGATCACTTACCTTCAGACAGGTAAAGAATTTTTATCTCCTTTTTACAGATGAAAGAACTGAGATCCAGAGAGATAAGATGACTTGCAGAACATCAAATTAGCAAAGAGGTGGGTCTTGGCTCCTACCTCAATGCTTTTTCACTAAAAACCGACTCTTGACAGGTTCTAAATGTAAAAAAAAAACGAAATAAAAACACATTAAATATAAACATAAATTTAGCATTATTACAGTGGTAAGGGCACAGGATAGTGTATGCATTTGTCACATCCCGTGAAAAGAAAAAATACCAAATTTTTCTGATATGGAAGGAGACTAAATAATATCATATTCCAGTGGCGAGGGGAGAGAGATATTCAAATAAACAGAATCAAAGACCAGAATAAACGCAGATATTGATGTAGTGTGCCTAGGTTTTACCATATGGCTCCCCTTTTAAATAACTAAGGAGAATTCAGACTAAAACCTTATTTTCCTCAGCAATGAGACTTCGAGATACAGGCTAAGTTTTCCCACTAAATCACTCACTGGAATCTTTCTTTTACCCTTACCATCACTTTTAAAAATTAACCTTGGCCTCAGTCTCAGTCACACAGATCAGTAATAAAGCAAAACATCTTGAATTCTTTTTTGAAACTCCACTACCTACCCATAAGGTACAAGACCATTAGCTCACGTGCAAACTCACTGGTGAACATAATCAATTATTTCTGAGCAGTCTGTAAAGAAAATAAGCAAATAAAATATCTTCAAATTTTAAGAATGCAGATATTTCTTTCTTTTTATGGTATATTTACCATAAAATCATCTAAACAGGAGAGTGATCACACGCATGTTATATGTCGGAAAGGCATATGACTTTTCTTAACACAGCATGGCCAAAAATAAACAAACAGCAGATTGAACTCTAACCACTCCCATTTACTGGCAAGCTACTTGCCTCTCTGAGTCTCAATTTTCCTACCTATAAAATTAACTAATACTTCTTCATAAGGTTTTGACTGGATGAAAATAACAATGAATGTCATGTAACTAGCACAGTGCATGGCAATAGTAAATGCTCGATAAATGTTAATGCCCTTTCTGTCTTGAAAATGAAATAGCTATATATTGAAACAATGAAAATCTGTTCTGCAGACACCCAAAGTTATAAAACTTAAAAAGCAGCAAACCAGTTTGACATACAATCTTTAAATGTCATTTTTTGAAGAGCCACATTAGAGTTCTCCATAGAGCATTTACGACAGCCAAAGTCTTGATGCAGCTGCAGACCAATGAAAAGAATACATCCAACAAGAGGAACACAATCTTTTCCTCCCTGGCATTAAAACAGAACTTTTGCAAGAGACCCAGGTTTCTTTCTCTAAGGCACTGCCCTGAACCAGGAAACTTGGGCTGCTGCTTCTTACTGTCCAAGTCATAATTCTAACTGCGAAAAGGAGTGGGGTGGAGGACAATAAATGGCTTCTGAGTATCTCGATGGCAGCAATGACAAGGGCAACCAGTAACCTGGTGCTCATCTCCATTTTTTCCTTTGAAAATGAGAGTCAATGGGAAAGTGACGTTTAAAACAAAACATCAGACACATGACCTGCTGAGCTGGACTCCAACCCTTCCCTGTATCAAGACATCAGTATAGATCTTAGTGTCTCTGATGCTCAGATCTGTAGAAAAGGACACCAATCAAGGAAACCATGATATCACCTTTTTCTTCCCATTGTAACAATCGGTTACAGTATCCTCAATAATAGACTTATGAAAAGCAGATACTGTTGCTCATTTGTATCACTCAATAAACAAATTTATTAAAATTACAATGTCTTCATTATTTACACATACTGCCAAAAATAAATGCATGCAACTGCCATCTCAATTTCCATTAGGTTGCTTTAACATTTTTAAATCAGAGAATTCTGGGACCAGAAATGATCTTAGAGGTGGCTTGGTTCACACCCTATTTTCATAAAATGTTATAAAGCACAGGCTAGTTAACTAACTTGGCCAAGATCATTTGGCAGAGCCAGAACTGGAATCTGGCCATCAAATTCTAATTAAGTATATTTTTCACTATATCATGTTTTTTTCATTAATTTTAGATTGAAATTATTAATTGATTGATATTTTTCCTTGAATAAATTATTTGAAATTCTGAGGAGCCTGTGTTTTAAAGTCTATAAACAAATTGCATGTATTAAACATAAATATAACAAATTTCCCCTTTCTAGATCTTCAGTTATTTAGAAAAAGTTAATCATCTATCACGCCAAATATAGTCAACTCAATTACTCACAATACTTAAAAGATTATCTACTTTAAGGATTATTTTCCATATATTTTAAAATCCTACACTTGATTTCTCCAGCTACCCAATACTTAAAATATTTTGCACATTTCAGTCATCGAAAGGGTCCTTAGAAAGTGGAAAGCAATTTAAATATTATTCTAAATAACACAAAATTAGTTACGTATGTCTATAGAGATACACAACATATCCCAAAACAAAAAGAAACTGGTGTTGATCATGCTACTGATACTCTATATTAGTGACCAGAATCAATAACCAGTGTTTTGAAAGGTACCCTCATTGCCTTAATTGTGCATTTCATTTTAACTCGTATTTACAGAGCACGAACCAACTTGGCAAAAAGCATGCTGAAAGCATATATACGAAATGTGTGAGATGAACAGTAAGTACCTCGGGAGATCAGAGAAAGGTAAACACAACACAGACTCGGCCCTTACAAGATGGGTAAAATTAGCATAGAGGAAGAGAACAGCATAGGTAACTACAAGGAGACAAATGAATTTTTCACTCATACTAGAAAGTTGGACCAGATTGCGGAGAATTTAAAGACCAAGGTGAGAAATAGAAGTTTCCATGTTCACCCTAAAAACAAGAGTGATATTATTTGAGATTTCTAATTCTAAATTTCCATATATTTTTTAAAAATTTTCAACCCTACCAACTGAGGAACATTTGTTGAAACATGTTTGTTTGACATTTGTTGAACTTGTTGTTCAAGTTTTATAAGATAAGAACTCACACTCAGCTTAAATCAGGATAAATTTTGAGGCAATTTCTATGAGGGACAAGATGCAAGAATCTAGATATTGCCTGACTCTAATTATTCAACAGAATTCACCAGGGAAGGCCTTAGGAAACAATTTAAATAGGTCGTAAAAGAAGCTATAGATTATCGGATCCAAATCTATTTTACCACTAGCCATACTTTTAACCAATTCCCTAAAGCAACTGGCTCATCAGCTCTTTCAATTCTTATAGAGAGAGTCCACAATCTCCTTCAAACAAAATTGACTATCAAAAATATTTGCATTTAACCTCCTTCCCCCCCCCAACTTTTTTTAACGTAGATAATATATCATTTGGTGTTCATATTCATCCATGGTTTAATAGTCTTACTAAAAGGCTTAGCTGGCAGCACTTACTTATTCAATTGCGTAAATGTACATCACCCAGTTTAGGAGTTTAGTGGACACTTTGAGAACTTCAAGAGATTCTGTCTCCCAGAAACAAGAATAATGGTTCAATGGTTCATGTTCGTATTTTCTCGCTCTCTGTCTCTCTCTCAATATTATAAAATAACTGCCATCCAAGACCATTGCCAGCACCAACCACAACAATAACCACATTTGCTCACTGAGTTACTACTCAGCAGGTGCAACAAGGAAGTACCATCTTTCTCATACTCTGAAACTGAAAGAGCTCATCTCACAACTAATGATTTGTCCCTTAAGGGAAAACAATACCACAACTGGCATGAACTTTCTCCTCTCCTAAGTGTCAGGGGTTGCCGGTCACAGAACCGGCAGAAGAGTAGGATTCACGGGCCTAGCTTTGCTCGGCGGCGCATGGTGGTGAGCATCAGCCCGGAATTGATGGGTATACCGTCCACACCAGTGGACACCTGCCTCGCCCAGTGACCTGCCAAGGCCAGCGGGGAGCCCCGCCGGGGTCTCGGTCCTGCACCCACCCCCACCTGCTCCCTGCCAAGAGCCTGCCACCCTCACCGACCTCAAAGAAAGCTTGGAAGCCCTGCAGCGAGTGGAGCGGGGGAAGGGACCCCACGCCTCAGGCTCCAGCTGGAAGCCCCCCAACCCCGACCCGTGTCCGCCCACTGTGCGGACCCCACCATCCTCATTGCCCGGGCAGGGCAAGCGAAGCCTTGAACCTTATCTCAGGACCCGCTCCAGCCTCCCCCCGTGGTGACCTGCGCCCACCTCGAGGCCACCAGCCTTACCTAGCCGGGTCTCGGCACGCGAGGCTCCGCCTGCAGAGCGCAGGCAGCGCGCAGCCCTCTCCCCCAGCCCCCGCCCGCGGCTTTGCTCTATTCCTCCGCCGACCGCGCGCTCCCGCCCCCTGGCTGCCATGGCGACAGAACCCGCCCCCCGGCCTCCGCTGTTGGTCAGACTGGGATCGCGGACGGCGCCGATTGGCGGGGGCGGAGGCGAGGCTGCGCGGGCTGGCGGGGAGGCTGTAGGAGCCTGGGGGAGGCTGAGCCAAGAGGGACGTGGCGCTCTGTGACGCGGGCGGGGAAGCCGCGCCCCTTCCTTCTCCAGCGTTCGGGGAGAAGCTGGTGCGGCGAGATTTGGGCGGGTGAGGTGCTGTCCCGGGACCGGGACAAAACCCAGGGATCGCCTCGCCATTGGCTGCTGGCCCGCGCCGGCAGGGCCCAGCTGGGTCAGAGACGAGCTGTCAGGCCCGTTTTCGCCCGTTTCTAACACCCCGGCCTCCTCCACGGCGGGAATCTTACTCGCATTTGTAGCCTCACCCGCCCCCGTCACGCTGGGCTCTCAGCCACTGTGGCTCGATTGCTTTTTACTCCACCTTCTCTCCCACCCGTCTGCGGACATGTCTCTTTTCTCTACACCCTACCCCCCATAGAACGGAGACATCTACTCCACACCCTCATTTTAAAGATGGGGAAACTGAGGCTCGAAGATATACGTGGCTCGAGGGTTAGAGAAGCTTTTGGAGCCTCGAGGCTGGTTTTAAAGCTTGAGTCTGCCCGGTAATAGCACCTCTCTGGGCCTTTAGTTTTCTCCCTTGTAAAAAATCATATCATCTACCTCGGAGGTGTTAGTGAAGATCAGATAATATGCCAGAAAACCAGTACAGAACCTGCTGCGTATATGTTAGTACTGGTAGCTTCCTTTTATCAGGAAGTAATAGAGCCTTGTAGCTAAGTGCACCAATCTAGTCAGACCGCCTATGTTGCAAAACCGGACTCTACTTATCTCAAACCAACTCTACGACTCGGGGCAAGTTACTTAAGAACCCTGTGCCTCAGTTTCCTTGTCTGTAAAATGGGATAATAATAGTTCCCTCCTTACAGCATACCATGTCAATAGAAAAGTGACTGGCACATAGTAAGGGCTTAGTAAATGTTAGCCATTCTCGCATTAGTGGCCCCGCTAAGACTATAATTCAAATCTCTGGATTCCAAGACCTGCAATCTTTACTCTCATACACCTCTCCTCTACATACTTAGAATAGTGCCTCGAGGTTAAGCTCCTTTTTAAGGTTCAGAAGGAAACACTTGTCCATTTTCTCTAAATGAAAATCTCAAACTATCTCCCTTATCATCATGAAAGTCCTAGAATGTTGTGACTCTACCTCCACTGAAGGTTTAATAGCAGAGGCAAATGTAAGGAAAATGATCATATTCAGTTCTTTTTGTGTGTGTGTGAGGAGATCAGCCCTGTGCTAACATCTGCCAACCCCCCTCCTTTTATGCTGAAGAAGACTGGCCCTGGGCTAACATCTGTGCCCATCTTCCTCTACTTTATATGGGACGCCGCCACAGCATGGCTTGCCAAGCAGTGCATAGGTGTGCGCCCGGGATCCAAACCAGCGAACCCTAGGCTGCCCCAGCAGAGCGCGCGCACTTAACTACTTGCGCCACAGGGCTGGCCCATCATATTCAGTTCTAATGGGTAGATTGAAGAGTAAAAGCACTAGAGAAAGAAAGGATATTCAAGAGGTTATGGTGTAGGAGCTCCATTTGAAAAACATGAGAAATATTACTTGGGTATTGATTGTGTATCCTTAGTAGCCAATGTTAGCGTCAGATCAGGAAAAAGTACCACAGCCCAATGCTGTGGAAAACACTAAACTGTAAACACATTGAAGGCAGGACCTATCTTCCACATTTTTATTACCCATTGTCTACCACAGGGTCAAATACACAGTGCCTGAACCAGGCACTAAAATTTGGCATAGACTCTTTAAGGGGAGGCCTTGAAAGATCTGTAATAATCTGTCTATATTACTTATAGTAATCCAATGGAGATGAAGAATGGAAAATGAGAAGATTGGATTAGTCCAACAATACAATGAAAGGAAAAGGATAATGAACACTAGCTTGGTGCCTGAGATGCCAGCGTTATTCTCAGCAATATTCTGGAGTGAAGGAAAAAGAAAAGACAAGGAAGGCAGGGCAAACAAAGATTAAACAGTAAGATGCAGGATTAGGAGAAATCCCTGAGGAAAATATTTCAGAATGTCATGTGCATATGAAGCAGGCAACAGCATCTCTTATAAAGGTTGTTTTGTGGTAGAGAAAAATAGGAATGTTGATAGTGAGCCCTGGAAACATCCTATGATCTGAGGGACTTATAAAGAAATGTTACTTTACTTAGTAGGTAAAGCCCAAAACTTGGGGGCTTAGCACTGGTGGAGAATCTCCTGATGGGGAGGAGGACTGACGAACATACTGCTACATTGTACAAGGGAAAAAACAAGGCTTTAGAGTCAGAACTGGGTCCCAGCCCTGGCTGGATTAAATACCCAGCTCCACCTTTCTTAGCTGAATGTCCTCTGGCAAGTTCCTTAAATTCTCTCCATAGCAAAGCTTCCCCATCTCTAACATGGAGACAACAATAGTTCCCACCTCAAATAGTCATGAGGATTAAATGAGTTTATATTTGTGAGGCAGTTAGAGTGGTGCCTGGCACACAGTAAGTGCTATTTTAATGTTCGATAACATAGTGGTCTCAGTTTCTCCATCTGTAACCTGGGATCATAATACTGAACTTACTGTTAGGATTCAAATGATGTATGTAAAGTGTCAGAGAGAAGATGCTCAATAGATATTATTTCTCTTCCCCCCACCCTCCCACCAACCCCCAGCCTGTTGCCTTTGAACCCGTCTCTGATTACCACTGCCACTGCCATCGAGAGGCCATTGCTCAATGTGGTCTAAGCAAGGTGGTCCTTAATTTCCCTTGGCTTAGCTGAGAAGCTCAAAATGAGTTTCCTAAAGGCCAGGAGAAAATAAAAGGGAAACAACTCCAGAGAACCAGCTGATGTGAAGCCTACCTCCTATGACATCTCTTGGTACTCCAGAAAAAAAAAAATGGTGTCATGGGGATTCTGGCTTTCTAATTCATCAAGTTTCCCCTTCTCACTTATGCTAGGATCCCACAGAACATCAACTGGCAAGTTCTTCATTCTGCTCAGAAGAGGGGAAAGGGAGACTGTAGTACCTACTCATGAGAGACAGTAAGTCATCAGAAACAAGGCAACTCCACCGTACACTCTACCTGGGGGCCAAGACTTACTAGTTTTATTAAGGTCTGGATCAAGGGTCAACACACTGTGGCCCTCGGGCCAAATCAACCAACTGCCTGTTTTTGTAAATAGTTTTATTGGAACACAGTCATACTCAACAGCCACACTCATTTGTTTATGTACTGTCTCTGGTTGCTTTTCTACTACAATGGCAGAGTTAAGTGGTTGTGACAAAGATTGTCTGGCCCTCAAAGCCAAAAATATTTACTACTGTCTCTTTACAGAAAAAAATTGCTAAGCCATGATCTAGATAATTCACCCAGAATCACCTTTTCAGTATTCCCAGTACAAAAACGATCACCTTCATCAAATCCTCTTATCCGTTGCTTCTCAAACTTTAATGTGTTGTCAACCTTAAAAATAAAACAGCCAGTTCTTTTACCAGAAAGATGGGTTTATTCAGGAATAGCAGGGGAATTGCAATTCAGGACAACAAGCTATGGCAAAAGCCATAAGCAAGCCCAGCAAGCAAAGGAGAGGAGTGTTATTTTATAGAGAAGTAGGAGGAAGTTGGGAGGAGTTGTTTTAAACGAAAGACCATTGGTGGAAAGCAAGACTGATGGTTTCTCATTGGCCTTTGCTTGGGTAGTCGATTCCTTGTACGAGATGCAAGGTACATCTTTTCCTGTTGGGGCCTGTAATTGATGATTCTTTCCTGTTGATGATTCTTCTGTTGGGGTCTATACCTGACAGTGTTTCAACTCAATTGACATCGAGTGGTACTGCATGAGAGCTCCCCCTTCTGGTTTCCTGACTCCATTTTAGTGAGGTTTCACTTTAATAATTTTCAGTGCATACAAATCAGGTAGGAGTCTTGCTAAAATGCAGATTCTGATTCAGTAGATCGACAATGAGGCCTGAGATTCTGCATTTCTGACAAGCTCTAGGGTGATACCAATGCTGCTGGTCCCTGGATCGACCTGATCCCATCAGGGTTTTTTCTTTCTTTTTCTTTTTTTATTGAAATATAATTGACATATAACATTATATTAGTTTCAGGTGTACAACATAATGTTTCAATATTACGTATTCAATACATATATATTGTGAAATGATCACCACAGTAAGTCTAGTTAATATCCATCACCACAGATACTGTAGTTACAAATTTTTTTCTTGTGATGAAACTTTTTAAGATTTACAATCTTAGCAACTTTTAAATATGCAGTATAGTACTTTTAACTATAGTCACCATGCTGTACTTTATATCTCCGTGACTTATTTATTTTCTAACTGGAAGTTAGTACCTCTTGACGCCCTTCACCCATTTCACCTACTTCCCACCCCCCTCCTCGGCAACCACCAATTTGTTCTCTGTATCTGTGGGTTTTGTTTGTTTTTTTTTTTTAGATTCCATATATAAGTGAGAATGGTATTTGTCTTTCTCTGTCTGACTTATTTTACTCAGCATAATACCCTCGAGGTCCATCCATGTTGTCACAAATGGCAGGATTTTCTTCTTTTTATGGCTAAATAATATTCCATTGTATGTATGTAGATTTCTTTATCCATTCATCCATCAATGGACGCTTGGGTTATTTCCATGTCTTGGCTATTGTAAAAAATGCTGCAATGAACATGGGGGTGCAGATATGAACCCCCATGTTCATTGGGGGTAGTGTTTTCATTTCCTTCAGATAAATATCCAGAAGTGGAATTGCTGGATCATATGGTAGTTCTATTTTTAATATTTTTTTCTTTTTTTTTTCCTGAGGAAGATTAGCCCTGAGCTAACATCCATTGCAAATCCTCTTCTT